ATTTTACACAGGCGTCTCGAGGGGTGAGGAGTCAGTGACCTAATATTGCGCGACAGAAGCATAGAATTTCACCAGGCATCACACCTAGTCAAGTGTTTAATGAAACGAATGGTTGGTCGAAGGCTTCTCACCCGTTATGAAATGCCCATCATCATCATAATCATTATCAACAGCATTACAAGTGTACAGCTATATGTAGGCGCGCGTATTGTACATACGCGAACTGACTGCTTCTTTCAAGTCTGCAAAACTTCGGAGAAGACATACAAAGACGAACACGCTCGTATCAGGCCTTCAAAGCGTTAATTTAATGTAAAACCTATGAATGCTCGTTCCATGTCTGACACGAATACAGCCAGAACTTTGATTTCTTGTGTTAAAAGAGTGTAAAGTCTCCTGAACTTTCGTTTTAGTAAATCAAAATGTTTGCTGTGGAAGTGGCCATGGTAAAAACCGAATTTTGCGTCACGTTAAAGTTATACAAAAGAGGTAACAGGCGGTAGAGACTGATATGCGAAAATCCTTGCAAATGCGGTTAGGTCTTCAAAGAATGTAAGGAGAACACATCGCATACTGCCAGAGCGTCTCAACGACATCCGTCCCTGCAAAACCATTGACGCCAGAAGAAGGTCGGGGTTGCGTAGGCGTCCAAGACGAAGGATGGCATTAAGCCCGCTCTCGGGACTTTCTCGTCAGTGGTTGAGGCGTTGTCGCTAATTGTTGCCGCAGACGATGTTGGCGTAACGGCTTGGCGCATTAGAGCACACGTGCATGTGGATATACTGTTGACAGGTCGTTTGTGTGACCAGTGTCGCGATCCCCCCGCTGATCACCAGTTGTTGTGATCCCGGGGTGCTGTGGTAGCGTGGTGTAGCTTCGGATTGAGGAAACGAGCGCTTACAAGATGGGGATACGAAAAACAAACAAGGTTTATGGCACTATTTACAAATATTTACAGCATGAGGTTAAGAGTTCGCAAACCACGAACGTGGTGGTTGAACCTTTACTTGGTCCAGAGCGACGTCCTGCACTCTGCGGCGCCGTTATAAGCCCTGTCGGGCTCCTCCTTCTTCAGTGGAACACCAATCACATACACACACAACAGGTGAGGGGTACGAGCATGCACGGCGCACGTGAACAGCCAATTTCGAGTCAAGATCACTGCACTTAAAGGTGGCGCCAGAGAGTCTCTTGCTCGTCGTGTATGTCGCTGGTCGAGGGGTCCCAAGCTTCGGACAGCAGACATCAAACGGTCCGCCAATCTGTCCGCTCAATTAGCAGGGCACTTTGTGGCGGCGGTCGCCGTTTCTCCAAAGGAATACGCTGTCTTTGTTGTCCCCTCTGGAACGGCTTACCGCTTCGTGGCGACGTGACGTCTCATCCGCCGGCTAGCCGGGACAATACCTGGCGGGCATAAGCATTCGGCGAGTCGGCTACTTGTTTGAGGGTTAAAAGAGCGCCGCTCCCCCGTCAGATCTCGACGCTGGTTCCAAGAAAACCTGGGTTCCAGGCGTGGGAACGCGGCCCGGCTACGCTTCTCAGCGACAGCATGGCGCCTACCGATGGCGGTCGTAACAGCTTCCCCCTCGCCAGATGAGTCACGGAGGGCAGCGGTCAACACTGCTGCTCGCAGGGACGACGAAAGGGTCAGTAGTTGAATGCCAAGAACTGGCCTTCGCTTGTGGCATGGTCCGGGTGATCGCCGAATCTTCGACAGCATCTCTGATACTCGACCACATGTACAAGTAAGCACTCGGCCCCCTTCGATCAAACCAAGCCAAAAGAGGGATGGAAACCAATTTTCATTTCCTAGCTTTAACAAAAGCTCACACTTCAGTTGACTACACTTTCGTTCAAAGAGTCTAAGATACAGGCCCATATCCCATGATACCTCATATGGCTGCATGTACCTAGACATCTCGAACTCTGCCTCCTTTTCGAGAAGTACTCCTCGCTGGGGTCCCAACCTCATACTCAACTCATAGTCTTGTTCGAAAAACTTTCTCTTGAGGCCTTTTCTTTCGTGTTCACTCTTTCCTTCCATCTGAGCTGCTCTTAGTTTTCTTTCGATGATGAGGTCCCATTCTTCACTTAGTTCCTCATCATCAGCCCCCAAATCATTAATCGCTTGAATGATTATGGGTTTTCGTGCCAAACCCTTTGTATCGATCCCCAATTCCTCACACAACAGCAACAAGTCTGACATCTGCAGCTCCCGTAAGTCCATGATCGTACTGAATGCTCGCTACTTCCAAAATAACTTTCCGAAACGGCGAAACTGAGTCTTTCGGCAAAGTTAACTACCAGTTCTAAAATTTAATCCTCTTTTAGAACCTGGTTCACTCAAAGGAAAAGCCAAGCACTCACCCATACGTGATCCATGTCTCAAGCCAGCTGCTTCTCCTGGGCCGACTGTTGTTGTCACTTGTAGCTTCGAATCCGACCGCTGCCAACCAGTTGTCGTAACTCGGGGTGCTGAGTCGTATCCCACCGCTGCCAC